GGTGAATGGCAATGGGACTGGATGATTCTATATGCCAAATTTTCCAGGAAACTATTGTGTTTAGCATGTCTAAATAGGAGTTGGACTTATTTGTGTCTAGCTTTTTCTAAATATTAGACTTTAAAATTCAATGATTTGTTGTGTATATTTTAGGTTTTTCTACTGTTATTTTCTACACACCAAAGAAAATTTGAGGGCTTGAAATATTGTCAATGGGTCATATATTGATACCACAGGTGTAGTTAGCAAGCAGATGTTGGTGTCACACATTTCAAAAGTGGAATGAGCCATGAAAAGGACACATGCGTACAAAAAAGATGCAGAGAAGGCAAAAAATTTCTTATACTTACATGATACTACTAAGATTCAAGCAACATGTTGCTATACCATAAACTTTGACATATAATAAAATATATAATGCAACTATCAAATAGCTTTAGTTTAAAAACCTTTTTGAACCATGTGTAGGATAAAGTTACATAACTTAAAGAAGATTTTTAAAAGAAATACATTCGAAACAGAACAAGACATATCATTTCTATATCAAGACTGTCACAAAAGTAAACAAGTATTTGAAACTTACAGCTAAAATCTTCCCTTCTTCATTCACATAATTGCCATTCTTTTTCAGTAAAGTTGACAATACAACTTCACTTCGGCACATCGGCCTTCTCAATTTTTGCTCCTATCATTAATCAAGTATAGATGAAAATAAGTAACTAGCAACACATTTTATTCGGTATAATAGTGTGGTTCTCAAATAAACCTCAAGGTAAAGAAACCTAATTATGTAGCTATGCCCACCTCATACAGAAAAGATCCAAATTATGGTCAGTGAGATACAACTAGATAAGTCACCAGCTTATACAACACAAAACTGCAAGACTGCCCCACAAATTGCAATGACATACACTAACAGCCATAAGAAGCTTGTATTTAGTTGTTTTGATATCCACATTACCATTTAAGAGCAATTATTGATGTTTGCAAGTAGTTACCAGAAAACAAATAAATCACACACTTGAAATTACCAATTTCACTAACACAACAAACTGAAACAAAACAAAATCAATGAAAACAAAAGAACAATAGAGAAGCTAGTTGACTAGTCCAAGTAGAACTCTTTTTGAGCTTGAAATGTACCCGTGAGAGAATACAAAGCAATAAACTAATGGAAACCTCTAAGAAAAATCTAACGGAAAATCACGTTCAGTACATGATAACATAGAAGAGTTAGACCCGTAAAACTTATCTCTTATAGAAAGGGGAAACCTCAACAGCTGACAAACCTATGGAAAAGGATTTTTACTTTCTCAAAAAATCAGTCAAATTCCCCACAAAGTACAAGAGAATAATCTAGAGCTAGTTAATACACCAGATAAGGGGAAAATCTCAATTTTCTGAAGACCACCGAGATCCCTACACAAAGAGACCTTGCTCCACACAATAACAAAAACTTGAAAAACAGACCAACCTTCGTTCCAGGTAAAAAAAAAACCCCACCAAAACAATCCAATAAAAGTGACAATATATGAAAGATATAGATACTTGAGACAATGCATTTAAGCTATTATAGCAATGGGACTTTATTACCTATAATGTTACTTGGCCGAGGGTCTTTCAATAAACAACGTCTCTACCTCCATGAAGTAGGAGTAAGGTCTATGTGTACTTTACCCTCTCCAGACCACACACTGCGGAATTACACAGGGTATGTTGTTATTGTTGACTTTACCTATAATGAACCATATGTTGTTCTTGTTTTCACAGTTTAAAAAGTTTCTTTTCATGACAATTTGTAAAGAATTTTAACTGACCTACAAAGATATCTTCATAGGTTTATCATTTCCTTTAACGAGCCCACGAAACTCTAAGGCTATAGGAATCAGCCTAATCTACGTCTGATATGACTGAACATGATGAGATCCTATTTTCATGTATGATTTCTTGTAAACTAAGAGAGAATTGTCTTTAATTTTACTTAAATTCTCATTTGTGACTGCTTAATCTCAATTTGGGGTTGATTTTACTTCCTTTTATTCTTTCAGCAGGTTAATTCTACTTTAGAATTGCTAAATTATGACAAATCCTTAATGTATATTGATTCTTGAAGTATTATCCTTCTCATCACTCACCTCATCAAAGTGGGAAAAACAGAGAAAAAGTTGTGATGTTCCATAGTAGGTTGCTCAATAAAAATTACAAAACTGATGTATTAATCCTTATTGAGAAAAAGAATCACCCGCGATGCTTTTACTTCCACATATATGATTGATTAAAAGTTTATCCTTGTTTAACCTGACTGCCTCCTTTATTCCCCACTATCAGCCCAAATCTGAACTCGTAAGCTTTTTTTATTATTAATTTGCAGGCACAATCAGGAGCAAATTTATAACAATTAACTAGCCAAAGAGCATGAGATAGAGAGTTGTAAAAGTGCGAAAGTTATTTTGAAAGTAAAATCTCAAAGAGTAAATCGTAACCGAAATTTGTATGCCATCCTTATGAAGGAAAAAATTGCACCCGAGAAAATTGAAACAAACAGAAAAAAAGTTGATAACACAATCGAGGTTTATAGAATCTGTGTACCTGGACTCGAGGTTCGTACCTAGGGGAAATGGAAAAAAAGGGAGGGAGATTATACTGCGTGATTTTGCCACAATTTTTTAGCGTCAGTTCTTAATATGTGGAGAAAATTATATTTTAATGTTAATTTAGCCACAGTTTATTTTACCATGGCTAATAAGCGCGTTTTTGATAGTGTTGATGCCACATGTGCACGCCAAACAGACCCCGTATCCACATAGACGACTATGGAAAAGGGTCAAAACTACCCTTAAACTATTCAAAATAGCTTAAATGTACCCTTGAACTATATTTTGGCTCAAAAATGCCCTTCCCGTCTAACTATTAGACCACACTTGCCCTTATGTTTAACAAAAAACATTCATGTGTGTGCTAAAATGTCACATGGACTCCACATGTGCATGCCAAACACACCTCACCTCCATATAGACAACTTAACCCTAATTTCACTCTTTCCCCCCTCATTTCATCCTTTCTTTATTTGGGTATATCTATATGAATATACAATATACATTGACTCAATTCAGTTCCATTTTATTCTGATACTAATATGTTGTACTTTGAAGATCACAACTTAAACAAAATTCAAATTAATTTTATTATCTAATCATTTAAATCATCTATATATTGAATGTTTCTTTAACTTTCCACAAAATCTAAAACTTCCTTAATAATCATTTAGAGCATCTTCTGAATTAGGGACCACAAAAGCTCAAAACTTGAACAAAAATAGGGTAATTGGTAAAAAAAAAAAAAATCAAGAAATCTATAAAGACTTACTAGGTCTTCGTTGATGTAGTAGCAATCGAAGGTGTCATCCCAGTCGTTCGTCAATTTTTCCTCATTAGCAAAATCGCCGACATTGATGTGGCAGAGCTCGGTCACCACCGCCAGGGAAGCCGCCGTAGTCATCTTCCTTGTGCTTGGAGTTCTGGTGATAAGTATATTAGATCTCTTACGACAACTGCTATTTTGCGTCATGGCCGTGAGTTGAATCAAGAAGAAAGTTTCGCTAAGATTTGCTTAAACAAAATTAATTTATTCAGAGAAATTAAAATAATAAATTAGTGTTAATTGATTAATTAAAATGAGTGGGTTTATATTATACCTTAGATCGTTTCTTTTATTGTATTTGAAATAGTCATCAAATTGCAATTTCTCTACTTCATTCGATTACGTATACAAAGTTCCGCAAATGTTTTTTCTTTTTTTGGTTCAATATGTACTTTTCAGGATGAAATGAGGGAAAAAGAGTGAAGTTAAGGCTTTAAGTCATCTATGTGGAGGTGGGGTGTGTTTGGAGTGCACATGTGGAGTCTATGTGGTATTTTAGCACACACATGATTTTTTTTTGTTAAACATATGGGCAAGTGTGGTCCAATAGTTAGATAGAAGGACATTTTTGAGCTGAAATATAGTTTAAGGGTATATTATGCTATTTCGAATAGTTTAAGGGTAGTTTTTAACTCTTTTTCGTTTATTATATTTGTATAATTCCAAACTTTATATTACTCAATTATACAAAAACACGTCAATTACACAAACGTACCAGCGAATTATATAAATTATTGTCCTCTCTTGCTCGCCTCTCTCCTCCCTCTCCCATTCTCACTTGCCATATATACAAATGCATATGTATAATATACACTTATCTAACCAATATATATATACAATTCACCTCTCTCCCACTCTCTGCCCTCTCTCGCTTGCCTCTTTCCTCCCTCTCCCAATCTCGCTTGCCATATATACAAATACATATGTATAATATACAATTATCTAACCGATATACATATACAATTCACCTCTCTCCCACTCTCTGCCCTCTCTCGCTCGCTTCTCTCTCCCAATCTCGCTTGCCTCTCTCTTCCCTATAACATGTAGCTACGAATTGTAATTATCAAACTATAGCTATGAGGCGTAATTAAGCTATTTTTAAATGGCTATATGCGAAAGTTCCTTTATTAATTATAATTTTTATTTGTTTTTTAAAAAGTGCAAAAATAATGAATTTAACCTCAAAAATGAATTAGTAATATGAATAGTTTTTATGAGTTGGTTGGTCCACATGGGTGGGTAGGTAATTTTCTTGTGCTTCATATTTACGCTGTCCATCGCAGGCAATTACTTCCCGCTAATATATACTCTATGATTCTATTTTTTGTATGTTTCTATATACTACTATACTATTTTTCAATTAGCCCATATGTATTTTTTATAATGTAGAGCAGCCATCTCTGAAAATCTCATCAATATCACAACTATAAATATAATGAGTTGAGTCCCAATATTCTTACACGTTTCATACAGATTCTTTGAATCAGCTTTTTAACGGTAAGGATCTCAACTTTCTTGCATTTTTTTTGTATGAATTTTTGTAGATTTTGTTAATTATGAGTTTTTGGATCTAAACAGGGAAAATGGCCCGCAAGAAGATCAGAGAATATGATTCGAAAAGATTGTTGAAAGAACACTTTAAGAGGCTTGCTGGTTATGATTTGGCCATCAAATCTGCTCAGGTAACTCAAAACAATGTTAGACCTTGTGATTCAATTAACATTACCCCTCACCTAAAACCCCTTTTTCTGGTAGCTGAATGCAGGACAGTTTTAGGTTCCATTTGTTAAAATTAGGCCAACTGTATTTGAAATGTAGGATGGCAAATTGAAATTATTCGAGTTGCCGTCTAGTTGTTGTAACTTTGGAGCATTCATCATATATTGCTGATTCTAGTAAAACAGATCTGGTTGATGGTACAGTATGTTGATTGTTGGTTACCTACTAAACTGAAGAATAGTAGGAAATGGATCTTGTTTAATCACTGCATATGAACCAGTGTTGACAGTGGTGAAGGCACATGTGTGGGAAAATTACAATGTGTAGTTAGATAAAAGTATTCTTTTTATGTATATATATATATATATATATTACATATTGACATCCCTTGGCTTCTTCGTGAATTTACTTCTTTATAATTTGAAACTCCTTAAAAAAAGTTCTTGCTCCTTTATTGAATTTGAGTGTGTATCTTCTTGAAGTCTTTCATTATGTATCCTTTTTCTAGTATTCAGCGCTCTCAAAGCAAATGAGCTAAATGAGTTTATTCTCTGGTCCAGACGCCATACAACACTGGCCTAGATTCATTTGTGTATGATGGAGGTTGAAGGACTAGAGAAAACAATCTTTCATGTTACTTGTGACAATTATAGATTGCATTAGATGATTTATTTGAGAGAATATAAGAATGCGGAAATTTATTCCTCTGTGCAATATGATGATGGTATTTTTTCTTTCGATGTCTTAGATTACAGAGTCAACTGATTTGAATGAGCTTGTAGAGAAAGAGCCATGGCTTTCTTCAACACAATTGGTGGTAAAGCCTGATATGTTATTTGGGAAGCGTGGAAAAAGCGGGCTAGTTGCCTTGAATCTTGATCTGGCTCAAGTTGCTTCTTTTGTGAAGGAACGGTTAGGCAAAGAGGTGATTGAAAATATTCTTTGTGGTGATATTGTTATAAGGAGAACACAATATATACTTTATCCAGAAACACATTATTTATACTATTAGAATGTATTTTCACATTAACAGGTTGAGATGAGTGGATGCAAAGGGCCTATCACAACCATCATCGTTGAACCATTTGTACCCCACAATGAGGAGTTTTACCTTAATATTGTTTCGGAGAGACTTGGTTGTAGTGTTAGCTTTTCTGAATGTGGAGGAATAGATATTGAAGAGAACTGGGACAAGGTACTTGAAATGTGCCTATATTTTATTACAAGTCAACAGAAAACATGTTATTTTTTAATAAGTTCACTATTTTAAGCATGTATATTGATTCGACATTCTACCGTGTTAAATCCAGGTTAAGACAATCTTTGTGCCAACGGGGACATCTTTTACATCAGAGATTTGTGCACCACTTGTTGCTACTCTACCACTGGAGGTAAATGTTTGAGAAAACCACAAATTAGGAAAATTTGATCCTTGTTGCCACCCATATTTGAAAATTCATTGTCAAAATGGAGCATTGAGTAATGATTTTCTTCTTCAAAAAGTAAAAGGCAAAAGGGAAAATAAGAAAAGGCTGTATATTCCAAGTTTATATGTCATATTAGTTTCTGCAATGTAATCTGAAACCACTGATATCGATGTGAAATTCACTTGTGTTGTACAGATTAAAGGTGTAATTGAGGAGTTCCTCAAAGTGGTTTATACTTTGTTTCAAGGTATGTCCAAATTTCATTATCACATCATTAATAGCCATTGGATTTGCCTGAGTCTTTGAATATTCTTTCGATCAGATCTGGACTTTACTTTCCTGGAGATGAATCCTTTCACATTGGTCGAAGGAAAGCCTTATCCACTGGATATGAGGGGAGAGCTTGATGACACTGCTGCTTTTAAGAACTTCAAAAAGTAATCTCTTGGAACACTGGCATTTAGCCGTCTACTGCTTTCCAGATATATTTGAGTATGGTATGCATGCATCATCAGTATAATAATATATCATTCGTTCTGCAGGTGGGGAAATGTTGAATTTCCATTGCCATTTGGAAGAGTGATGAGTGCTACGGAGAGCTTTATTCATGGGCTAGATGAAAAGGTATTTCTTGACACTTTGGCATTTAATTAAGAAAAGCATGAGGGATGAAAGACTTGGAATTGCCAACCCTCTCCCACTCCCCGGAAGTAGAAAAAGATGTATCTACCCGGTTTTAATAGTCCCTCTTTTGGGAATTGTAAGAGATGAACAAGGAAACAAACAGCTGCTGTTTATTCGTCCATCAAAATTTAGAAAACCTTTTCAAGTAATACAAATTCAAGAAGAGGAGAAAGCTGATTCTTTTAATATAAGATGTCTACTGCATGTTTCTTGGGCATGAAATATTGAGCATTACAGTGCGCTGCGAAGTGTTTCTTGTCTAAACTGTGTCAGTTGAGGTAGCAGATGGTTCTATGAACAATTGATCATTCATTTTTCTATTGCAGACAAGTGCATCTTTGAAGTTCACGGTCTTGAACCCCAAGGGACGTATTTGGACGATGGTTGCTGGTGGAGGTGCCAGTGTCATCTATGCAGATACTGTATGTTTCTATCCTTTGCGAAACTTATGCCCTATGTAGCTGGTTACTTTGACTACCCTTCTGTTGTTGCATTGCTCTAATTGCCATGTTGGGTTACCTTCAGGTCGGTGATCTTGGATATGCTTCTGAGCTCGGGAATTATGCCGAATACAGCGGTGCTCCAAATGAAGAAGAGGTCTTGCAGTATGCCAGAATTGTAATTGATGTAAGCATAAAGTATTCGGTTAACTTAATATATAGGATATACCATCATAGTGAACATGCTATGGCATATTCTTGGTTATTTGTCTATAGAATGAAAAGAACATTTTTATTAGGAGAAAGATACTCATTTCGTTGCCAATTATGCAGTGTGCAACCGCAGATCCTGATGGCCGTAAGAGAGCCCTTGTGATAGGTGGGGGAATAGCCAACTTTACTGATGTTGCTGCTACATTTAGTGGTATAATTCGAGCTCTGAAGGAGAAGGTACGAAACCATCACAAATCATAGCCATCTTCAATATGACTTGTAGTAACTTGGACACTCCTAACTCGGAGTTCTTGTAACAGGAATCAAAGCTTAAAGCTGCAAGAATGCACATATATGTCAGAAGAGGTGGTCCAAACTACCAAAAGGGTCTCGCAAAAATGCGGTCTCTTGGGGAGGAAATCGGCATCCCAATTGAGGTATGAATTTGGTATCCAGCAATAACTAGTCTAAAACCATTTTTCCTGTTTCAATAGCCTCAAGCAATTTCGACATCACAACTTAAGTATCGTTGTAATATTTTCCCCGTCTCTTAATTTATGTTGTAGGTATATGGACCTGAGGAAACCATGACTGGCATCTGCAAACAGGCTATTGAGTGCATCACTGCAGCTGCATAAAGCAACCAACTCTGCATTCTCCAAGCTTAAATTGTTTTGGTTTACTTTTTAGCTTTGTGTTAGCATAATGTTGTTTGTGTCTGATGTAAAAGAGAGTGCTTTGTACTTGAGACATTTTACATTAGCAAATGGGCTCTAATAATAATCTCTACATATACAGCTTCTGAAAGTATTTTGTGGCATATTATATTATATCTACATACCACCATCTATAATTACGTTTAGCGCTGGAGGCAATTTATAAATTTTCTTCTTAATCGGTATTACTAGTTTTTGGACACATGCAAATTTTTATTCGATTAATATTTTTTTTACTAAAACATGTATGTAATAGTAGTAAAATGTAATACTTATGATAAATCTTTATACGTGTGACGAAAAATATCAAATGGGGGATGTATTTTAATGTTTTAAATGCAAACATATGATAATTAAAAATTTATAGTAAAATAAATTAAAAGAAGTCTAATAGAGAGAAAACACATTAAAAAAATAGAGAAAAAACTACAATAATTACATCATTCTTAGACTTTAATCATAATAATATAGATGAAAAACAAATACAAAATCAATAAATAATCTTTTGAGTTCTTGTCGACACCGTCTCTCCAACCAATCAAAATTCAACAGTCTTTTCCATAGACTTAAACTATATAATGGAAACTATATAAGTGTTTCACTATTTTAACTCTTAACTATAGATGAAAAGGATAACATAGGGTAGAGATCACATGAAACAAGAAAGATGAATTTATATAGATATTCGTGGATCACCAAAAGATATCTTAAAGTTTTAAATTAATTTTGTGGAGGTTATGAATATAAAAAAACATGAGAGTTATGAAAATTAAGAGTAACAATTGAATATGTAAATAGATACTCCCTTTGTCCCTAATTACTTGTCCACTTTTGAATTGACACACCTATTAAGAAAATAATGATTGACATAGTGAATTACCATTTTACCCCTATTAATTATGAAGTGGAAACTTCTTTTTTTGATAACTTTAATTGTATTACCATATTTTCAATATGTACAGATTTGAAGCTTAGGACATGGACATAATCCCAAGTCTCAAAGCTCATCACCCTTGTCTTGTTCAGGTTCTATGCTAGAAGTTCTACGAAGGATAAAAATTAAGTTTATGCATTGCACTAGCCAATCTAGGAATCATGATACTTCTACAATGAATTTTTTGAATGATTTTCTTTATTATCTCCTCAATGTTTCTCTCCCTTTGCTGAAAAATTTTGTAGTTCCTCTCTTGCCAGACGTAGTAAATAGTTGCAGCTAATATCATTCTATACACTTCATCTTGTATTGTTTTCCTAGTAGCATGCATTGTAGCCCATTCCATCTCTTCATTCCACCATGCATTGCTCCTGGTGATGGATAACCATTGAAGTAATCTTTGCTATATCACATTTGCCACGCTGCATGCAAAAAATAGGTGTTGGGGTGTTTCAGGTTCTGCTTTGCACAATGAGAAAACTGAATCAGTGTTTATCCCTCATTTGTCTAGCATGTCTTTTGTATATAGTCTCCTTTGTATAGCCAAGTATAGGAATGTCCATTTGGGACTGCCTTGGTTATTGCATATCATTCTTCTCCATGGCTCCTTGTTGAATTCACCTCTAAGCTTTTTGTACATATCCATACATGTGAATGTTTCTGCCTCCATAACCTTTGTCACTTGTAATCTAGCTTCTGAGATCCAATGTCCTGCTTGTAGGATTTTCCTCACAACCCAAGAAGCTTGTTTAGCTTGTACTTCCTATGGTCTCCTATTTTTGATGTAGTAAGTATGGACCCATACAATTCATAACTTATCCTTTTTCTTAGATAAGTCCCACAAATGTTTGAGTATTGCTACTTTATTCCACACATACATATATGTAATATTCAGTCCACCAACAATCTTTGGGCAACACAATTTATCCCATGCTACAAGAGCTTTCCCTTTAGCTTGTGTATCACCACTCCATAGGAATTTTTTGCATATAGTTTCTACCTGCTGCAACATTTTATTTGGGAGAAGAAATATTTGTGTCCAGAATGCTTGAATGGAGGTTAGTACACTTTGTACCAACTGGAGCCTCCCTGCATAAGATAGAAATTTCACTGTCCATGTGTTGATCCTTCCCAACATCCTGTCTAGTAGTGATTGACATTGGCTTATTAACATTTTTTTGGAGCTTAAAGGGACTCTAAGATATCTAAAAGGTAAATTGCCTTTTGTGAATCATGTATGTTGTAATAGCAGTTGTTGGTCTTGCTTTGACACTTCACCAAAATACGCACAACTTTTGGCCTGATTTGCTATTAAACCTGATACTTGAGAGAACTGCTGAAAATATTCATAAAGGAGGATAGTTGAATTTAAAACTTAATATTTTCAAGAAATTCTACCTTTTTCAAGGTAATTAATTGAGGGTATAATAGGTAAGAAAAATTTATACTTTCTTGATTTGTCAAAATAGACAAGTAATTAGGAACAACTATAAAAGAAAAGGTGAATAAGTAATAAGGGACAGAGGGAGTAAGAGTTATGAAGAAGAATATTTAAAGCAAATAAAGGAGAAAAATAAATAAATAAACGAGGAAAAAAGAATAGTGCACTTGAATTTAAGTGTGACCATAGAATAAAAATAAAATTATTATTAAATATTAATATTATGTATACATATATATTCAATGATAACCACAAAACGTATTAATAAGAAAAAGATTCCCAAATCCATAAATTGAGATTGATATTACAATTGACATTTAAGAATATTTGTACCAAGTTTCATTCAATTGAATTTTTCTCATTTAATTAATAGAATATATGGAGAAGGGTCTAAAACACCCCTCAACTATTTGAGTTGGTACAAAACTATCCTTCATCCACCTATCAACCCTAAAATACCCCTGACGTTCACCTTTTAGCTCAAAAATACCCTCGATGTTAATCTTTTGACTCATATTTTCCCTTATTTTTAATAGCTCCCTTAAAGTAAAATTATTAAATATTTATTTATTATATTGCTTAATGTGATTGGTCCAAATTTAAACCCTTATCAAATAAATAATAAAAATGATATTTTAAAAAATCATTTTTTTCTATAAAATCACTTATGACTCATATTTTGACCCGATACACTTGAAAATAATATTGAAAAAAATAATTAATTTCATGATATCTTCTTATGGACCTATTTTAAATCAACCCCAATTTATTATAACATAACCCAACTCATAAATGGGAATCCAACAAAAATCCATACTTACCCTGAATGATTGTCCATCTAAAAAAATTATTATTTTCATTAACATAAAATTTTCTCTCAATTATCCAAATGTCTTGTTCAATCTCTTTTATTCTGTTTTTAATCTCTTATTCATAATTAGGATATCCGGAACTCAAACTTGAAATGAACTCACATATTTATATTCTTTTAATTTGTATTAATGTCATGATGGGATGAGGGTGGGGATAAGAGAAATGATTATTTTTATTCTTTTATTTTTAATTTTGGGTACACACAAGAGAAAAATATAATATTTGTCATATTTGCTTAATTAAGTCATCTTTTATTGAACTAATTATTTCTATATGAATGCATTGTTATTTTCTCCTTTTCTTCTCTCTTGGTTGTCATAATTTTTTTTTAAAAAAACTAAAATGGTGGACAAGATCAAAATATAATTTTTTTTGGAAGAGATAGGAAGTGAAGGGCCGAGGAGGCAGGAGTGTAGAGAGTAGATGTCTAACCTTTTTATAATTTTAAATTTGCTATGAAATTCAAGATCAAGTCAATCATGTGAGCTTATATATTAAGTAATTTCGAATTATTTTAATGCAAAGGGCCTAAAATGCCCTTAAACTATGAGATTTGGTAAAATATTACCCTCCTTCCACCTATTGAGTATGATCCGTTAGACATAAGGGTATTTTTTAGCTGAAAGATGGACGTCAAGGGTATTTTAGGGCAAATAGGTGGATGGAGGATAATGTTGTATCAATTCAAATACTTGAGGGGCATTTTAGGCCCTTCAATAAGAAGAAGATCAAACAAATAAAAGCTTAAATGGGAGAAGATTGATGTTACAAATGTAATTAATGACATTTATATTTAAACCACATCTAATGGAATGAATTTTTCTTCATTTTTTTAAGGGATAAGGGTCTGAAAAATACCCAACTTTGGTCGAATTTGTTGTTGCGATACTAAACTTTCATGATGACCTATTACCTCCCTAGACTATTTAATACCGTATTTTAAACATATATATTTGCCCACGTGGACATAAAAAATAATGCAAAATTATAAATAGTATTGTGTCCACGTGGGTACCTTTAAAATACACTATTAAATAGTTAAGGGGGTAAAAAATATGGTATTAAATAGTCTAGAGAGGTAATAGGTCATCATGAAAGTTTAGTATCGCAACAACAAATTCGATCAAAGTTGGGGTATTTTTCAGACCCTTAGCTCTTTTTTTAATATATATATATATATTTTGAAGAAGTAAATCTAATTTAACATTTTTGTAGTTAAAATATTATTATGTAATTAGATTTTGTTTAATAGATGGGCAAAATGGTAATCCAACTTTGATGATAGGAGCTTACCACTTTTAATATAATCTGATTATTTTTTTGGACAAATTACAAAAATACACAGCTTTTGTTTCGCTTAATTCTATTATTCTCTATTACTTTTAAAAATCTCCAAAATCCCTTATTTCTTTAATGTATCCGAACTACATATTAATGTATCCGAGCCAATATTTAATGTATACGAGCTAGGTTTTAATGTATCCGAGCCAGTATTTTAATGTATCTGAGCTACATATTATGTATCCGAGCTAGTTTTTAATGTTCTTAGTTACATATTAATGTATTTGAGACAATATTTAATGTATCCGAGCTTCAATTATTGTATCCAATTTTTTTAATTTTTAAGTGATTAATGTAATTAGAAACTTATTAGGGAAATTACTAATATGGGATTTATGTAATTTACACTATTTTTTTTTGGTTAGTTTCAAATATATATACAATTAAGTAATTAGTTGACAATAAATATAGTCATATTTTTAATTATATAAAATATAATCAAATGACATAAGAAATATACACGGACTATATAACATAGTTCGTCAAAAGTCATAGGA